TAGGTGAAGGAAAGAAGGGATTGACTGTTGACAAGATCTAAAATTCACTTCATGTGATTTTTGGGGTCATTTTTGTGTCCCTATATTTACCTGCCATCTCTCTATCTCCCCATAATGGACCAGATCTACCTTATCTGAGCATGGGGAGAAGGTGATTATTCAAGATGCTGTAGGTTTTGTGAGAAAGGCTGTATTATTTCCAGGTCTTTTGTAATCCCTGAGCCTTGGAGTGGGTTTATGCCCCATAGAGGATTTGGGTGCACTCTAAATATTGCTGAGCATATGGGGATCCATACTGCTTTATCTCATGCAATTACATCCTACAGAATTGTCACAGGTGGTGACTAGAAGCAAAACAGAGATTGCTGGGAGTTTAAATAATTAGCATGTGGTCTAACCACCATAATTTTTGAGGACAAAACCCTGGAAAACCCATCTGGTTACATGCTCTATTCCACTTTACTTGAATTTCAGGTTTGCAGACAGCCTTGTCTACTATGGTCTGAGCCTTAACGTGACAAATTTTGGTCTGGACATCTACCTGACGCAGCTTGCCTTTGGGGCAGTGGAGTTGCCGGCTCGATTTTGCTGCATTTTCATTCTGCAGTGGTTCGGCAGGAAGAAAACCCAGTCTGTCCTCCTGCTGCTGTCCGGCCTGATGTGTCTCGTCATCACTGGCATCCCTGAAGGTAAGCAACCTCTTCCCAAGCCAAGACCACAGCCGGGTAGAGCCCCAGCTTGGTCCTGATTCGGACTCATCCTCACAGCCTGGCTGGCTGCAGACCCACTCTTGCTCTCAGGGGCTGAGCTGCCTCCAGCCCAAGGAGCTGCGCTCCCTTCTCTGCATGACTTTATTCTCCTTCAGGGCTGTGCCTGGTCCTTCGACAGCTCTCGGCCCTTGGCAAGCAGTGCCCATTATACACCATCATCCATTACAATGTATCACCACTACCCACTATGTACATCACATCCACCTACTCTATATATATATATGTATACATCATCACCTCCTCTTGGAAGGGTGTAGACACGCGAAAGGCCTCTTCCACCAAGAGGCATTTTAAATGTCACTGTCTTTCACTTCTTCAGATGTACAGGAGAAGCAAATGTCCCCCCCCAACTGATCTGTTTCTACTGACACATCGTCACAGTCCATACCCTCACCCTGCTGCTGAGCGAGCGCTGTGAGTGAGGCTGGAGGAAAGAGAGGGGTCACGTGAGCCTTTCAAGCTCCTGGATGTGGTATTTCCAACCTGGCACTACCCGGAGACCTGCGGTGGCTCTGTAGCTCACTCCAGTTGCAGATTTAGGAAATGCCCAAGGCCTCAGGAGAAATCTGGGTTCTCTCTACCAGTTGTCCAGAGGCTATTTGCCAGGAAGGGGTATGCTGGGAATGATTTCTTTCGTAGATTTTCCTAGTAAGTCCATTGGAAAGGGCTGTCCCAAGAAATCCCACTGCAGAGACATTTGCTCTCAAGTGAACCTTCTCCACGAAGGTCACAGTGGTGGTGTCTCCTCCTTCCCTCAGACCAGCCCGTGGCGACCACCGTCCTGGCCATCATTGGCAAGTTTACAGCCTCAGCCTCCTTCTCCACCTCCTACGTCTACTCTGCGGAGCTCTTCCCCACGGTTGTCAGGTGAGGTCTCCCCACGCAGCGAGACTTCCCTCCACTGTGGCTGGTGGCAGTGGTGGGCCAAGAGCCTACTTGTCCCCATGGCCACAGTCAGCCCCACGGTGGCCAGGAGATGCCGAACCCTGCCTGCGCCTCCCACTGCCCCTCATTCCCGCAGGCAGACCGGCGTGGGGCTGTGCTCGATGTCAGCGCGGGTGGCAGGGATCATGGCCCCGTTGATCCGCCTCTTGGGCCAGTACCACCGGGCCATCCCGATGGCCATCTTCGGGAGTGCCCCCGTGGTGGGGGGGCTGCTCTGCGTCCTGCTGCCCGAGACCCGCGGCACCGACCTGGCGGATGACACAGAGGCAGCGGCCCCCAGCTGAGGTGGGTGTCTGGAGCCTTGAATTGAAGGGAAAAGAAATCCAAAGGTGCAGATTTAAGGCAAACAGAAATATGTCAGAAACCAGGATAGAAACAGTATCATCTCTCCTTTCTTTCTTGTGTTCAGCAGCAGGACACAGGGAATTTTATCCAAGAGAGACACTGCAGAGGATGGAGTAGGCTGAGAGAAGGACATCTACAGATGCTCGGGGAGTGAGCAATGAAGGAACAGGCATATACAAAGGTCTACTCTAATCCAGTCTTTCTTGAAGCAGACCCGTGAGGCATCGCTGTCTGGAAACTGGTCTGTCAGATGCTCAACAAAACACTCGTGGTCAGAGGGAGAGGAGATGTGTGTCGCTCTGCGTTTGGAAAAGACGCACTTGAACTGTTGCTGAAGCCCGGCCTGTTGTGCCTGGCTGCGCGAGCCCTCCCGACGCGTTTCCCAGTCCTTTGCAAACTGGTACCCGTGGAACCATCCCTGTCGTGTTTTACAGCAATAAAGAATTGCCAGTAGAGTGGTTGTACTGGGCAAGCCAGCCACGGGCTCTGTACCTACTGCTCGTCGGCCTTCTCGGCGGTCCAAGCCGTGACGTTGGATCAGGATGTCACTGAAACCCTGTCACACGCGTATTTAGCTTTTGTTTCCATGTGGTGTTGAATTTGAGTTTCTACATGAATAATATAAATTATACTCTGAGTTTGATAAGAGACACTTGTAATGCAATATGTGAATAATAAATGGTGTTGATTTTTTTTTTCCTACTGTTTCACAGTTGGCCTTTGTAACTGCTATTGGCTCTGGAGTGTTTTCTACGCAGAAATTGTAAGCCTGTAATTTAACACACAGATGGAAACGAGTTTGGTTTCCATCAGCCACAAACAATGCAGAAACAGAGTGTTAAAGCAGAATGACTGGGTTCAATTAGGACTTTTTTTTTTTAATTTCCAAGTCTCCTGATTAACAATCTATTTGTATTTTCTCTGTGAGCAGCTGTGGAAGTTTCCTGAATTGTGTCGTCTATGCTGCAACTCAGCGTCACAGTCGGCCTTTAACAGTGACCTCGGTTGGCTGCTGCCAGCTCAGCCACAACAGTTCAGTGTCAACTCGTGTCACGCAAAAGTAAGAGGAGTGTGTCCTCTGCTGCTCTACTTGTTTGCAAGCAGAGGATGTATTTCGTGCCCTTTCATGAAGGTATCTCCTCAAACCACAGCACTGCTCCTGGACAAGAAGGCTGATCACTCAGACTTGTAGCATCCTTTGATTTCCGACTGCTTTGTGCTGGTGGAAGTGGCGTTGTGAAGGCTGGAGTGTCCCAAACCTGAGCCTGCCATGCCTGGAGGTGACGCTCATTCTCTTCTTTGGCTTTGGTGCACAAGATCTCACCTTATTACAGACTGTCATATGAGACCTGGCCACAGCTGGAGATGGGGCTGGGCATGTGCAGGATCTGAGTTTTGGCACTGTCAGTGCACAGTCGTGAGAGCAGCACTAATGCTGCTTCTCCTCAGGTCATGGACACGGGCCCTTCCCTGCATGGGGTTGGGAGGAAGGAGAGGATAATGTCCTCTACTCAAAGGGCAATGTCTGGGATCCTGACACCTCTGCCCCACAACCAGGAGTCAGGGTTGCAGAACAGTTCGTTGTTGCTGGCACTGGGGACTCACTGATCATCTCAGTGGTCCCTGTGGGGCTCCTCTGGCAACAGATGTGTTGCCCCACATCTCCTCACCTCACTTTAGTCAACAGAGCCAGGCCAGGCTCTGCTGCCCCTCCATGCCTTAGATACCTCTGGCCCTGTCTGACCAGTTTCCTCAGCAGTGGGGAGATACACGAACCTGGGATTCCTCCAAGGGGGAAACAGAGGTTGAGAGATTCAGACCTGAACACAGACAGGCGTAAATGAGGCTGTGAGGGCAGTACCAGGCCTTGATCTCATGTCTGATCCAGGAAGGACTGAAGAAGGCTTAGACATTATTCAAAATGCCTTAGCAAACCCTTCAGTGTCGCTGGCATTTGCTCACCACTGCCGCCTTCCGCATCTTCCCACAACCAGCCCTCCGGTCAGGGCTTGGTAAGCCACTCTATTAAGGTCTTGCACCTGCTTTTCCCAGCTAAACCTTGCTACCTCATTTTGTCCTCACCTTCTCTTCAGCCTTCTGGCTCCCTTCCCTTGGCTAAGGGGTCATCCCCTTTCCCTTAGTTATCCTTTCAGGACACTGAATGCATTTTTTACCCTTTGCTCATAGCCTCATCAAGATGAGAGCCCAAAACATCCCATGTGCACGCAGAAGTGTGTTGGCATTCTCACATGGTGTTCCACCACACCTAACTCAACTCTGCACTGTGAGCTCTATTTATTACAGTGAAAGACCATATGAAGACCAGGTAGAGAGATATTAAGGCAGAAAACCCGTTGGACATCATCCCATGTCTGCTGAGCTGGGAACATCATGAGTCGAAGTAGGTGCTCCTCAGCCAAAAGTGCACCCTCCGGTGTTCTTCAAACTAACCAGGTGCAGTGGTCTAGGGAAGAGCAGATGAAACAGATCTTCAGCTGACTGGAGACATGAATAAGAGAGAAGCAGAACTACATCAGAGGTGCGTGGACACCTTTATTTATGAAGTGAGCTGAAACAGAGAGTCTCTGAGCAGAATGAAGCTATGCTTCACTCCATAACTGCGCATTTTGCTCCAAGCTCTTCCCTCAGCCTTTATCCTCAATGTTTTATTTCCCATAAAAGCCCAAAGGAGGCAGCCACCAGCCTTGGCGAAGGAAAGCATGCTCTCGGGAAAAGGATCGAGTTCCTCTATACACAGGGTCACTGAACAGGAGCACCACAGCAAATCCTGTGAAAAGCAACGCGAGAGAGAAGATGGCACCACAGGCAGCCCCTCCTGGTGGGGTATCGTCCCCTGTCACTGATTTTATCCAAACCTCGTTCTGCATCAAACTGCATATCCATGGGGTACTTTGATCCATGGAAGACATGAAGGCATGACAACAGGGAGAAGAAATAAAGTCTCCTTTAAAAGCTGCTTGACAGTCCCAGAAAATAACCTTTGAGCTCTATACAAAGCTGTAACACCACCAAGGTGTTACTTCTGGGCTTCGTCTGTACCAAGCCAGTGGTAAAAGAAAGTCATCTTGAGAAGCAGGAGGTAAGAGGAGGGAAAGCACTGGGAAAAAACAGGTTTTTTCTTTATAGTATAACAGGAAAGTGGCATAAACCATTTAAAGACAGAGATGGATACAGGAAGAAGGAATAGACTAGAACAGAGTAGAATAGACATGCTCGTTCCCAGAAAGTTTGCACTTTCTCCTAAGAGACCAACAGCCAGAACATCTCCCAGTTTCCTGAAACAGACAAATTAATATGGTCCAACACCACAGCCTGACAGCACAATTTTCCGTGCACTAAGCATCATGACACGGTTTCATTCACCAAGGCGAGAACTCTGCTGCCTGTCAGACATCTCTGCTCTCTGCTTGCTGTTTCTTCCATCACATCTCTTTTTTTTTCTTCAGCTGAGTGTCTCAAATTTTAAAAAAGAAATATTAAAAGGAGTGTTTTTAAGAGAGGGTGAGAAGACCGTGCTAGACAGTCAAGAGAAATCACTCCTCCTTGCAAGTGTGAGATTGTTTTCAGTGCTGCATCTGCTCTGGCTTTCTCTTTCGGGAGCACAGTACCCTTTGGCAAGTCTAGTCAACGCTCTAGCGGGTGTCTCGGACAAAGTTTACAGTGTCACGCTCCTGGAGAAGGGACAGAAAAGAGGAAATGTTGCATCCATCCTGGTTTCTGGTTTCTGTCGTTTGTTTCCATAAATGAAAAGCATCCATCGAGAGCACTGCTGAACACCAGGGACAGGGTGCAGTGCCTGAGGACAAGCCGTAGAGGGAGGTTCAGGAAGGCAGGAAAGGAAAGACAAGAGCTGGCAGTGGCAGCTGGAGGGGTGATGGTGTCCTGCAAACGGAGACCCTTGTGTCCACAGAGCCCGCACAGGCTGCCTTCAGCTGCAGCCACTTGCAGGTCCAACTAGAAGTAAGTGGTCGTTGTGGACTCGTCATCTTGGCCACCATTTTTTCCTTTCACATGTCCATTTTCAGAGGTGCTGTTGGCATTTTCACAGACCTAATAAAAGGGAAAAAGAGTTAAAAAGCAAAGAAAGACCCGTTAGGAGCTGATGGCAGCCTTCTCTGAGACAGGCGTACTTCAGCGATCCGGCTTCCCATTCACCACTCACTCTTTGGGCCTCCACAGACACCCTTCTCCCAGAAAAAGTATTGGGGTGCAGTGCCAACCTGTCTCACAGGCAGTGGGATGCTGGGAGCTATGTGGGGCCAAAAGCCAGGAGGCACCAGCTTTGAGGCACCAGCCCTTTCCTGGAGAGGGCAGGAGGAGGCAAGCGAAGCACCAGAGGTTCCTGGAGTCCTTCCATCCCATGAACAGGAACAAATCAGTGACCACCATGAGTCTGAGATATCCCTTTTGGCAGAGTTATGTGGCCTTGTACCCTCATCCAACAGTGGGGCAGCCCCACTCCCTGCCCTCCCACTGCTGTCAGCCCTCGAAGATGTCCCCAGCCCATGCAATGCTGACGGCCTCCCGCAGCACTGGTCACCCCATGGCTGTGCCCAAGAGGGTCTGGGGGTGCCCATGCCCAGTAGGCAGCACAGGCACTGCCAGGCACCCACCTCAGCTGGGGGGCAGCCATCCCCTGTGTCATCCGCCAGGTCGGTGCCGCGGGTCTCGGGCAGCAGGACGCAGAGCAGCCCCCCCACCACGGGGGCACTCCCGAAGATGGCCATCGGGATGGCCCGGTGGTACTGGCCCAAGAGGCGGATCAACGGGGCCATGATCCCTGCCACCCGCGCTGACATCGAGCACAGCCCCACGCCGGTCTGCCTGCGGGAATGAGGGGCAGTGGGAGGCGCAGGCAGGGTTCGGCATCTCCTGGCCACCGTGGGGCTGACTGTGGCCATGGGGACAAGTAGGCTCT